GTCAGCAAAGGGCCAGGTGTTTCAGGATCCCCACCTGGCATGAGTATGGCATTCTGACCAGGTCACCATCTCACCATGAAATGCATCTTAGCCAAAGCAGGATCTATATTTTCTCTCCAACAGCGCTCTGAAAGTATTCTAACACAGCGGCTGAGATTAATTTCAGTTTGGACTAAGCTAGAGTCTGCGCGGGTGTTCCAGCACCCAGCGACCAAGATGTAACCTTGCAGTACCCCCTGCAAGGATGGTATGCATGGAAGCCACACCACACCGAAGCACGTATGGTGCACAGAAGTCTTGGAGTTATTTGATTCTACCACAAAAAGTAGCAAAGCATCCAATGCACAAGAAGAAACAACTACTTCTTTCCCCTGCCACTTGCAGGTTCAGCCTTGACCACCCTTCTTTTGGGTGCAGGAGTGCCACTACCATGTTCCTTTTTCTCACGCTCACGTTCTTCCTTCTTCTGTTTCGACTTGATGTGGGCTAGGTAAGGCCTCAACATCATTGCAATCCCAAACTGATCCAATTCCTTCCTTGAGCATATTACAGCCTTGACCTTGACAGTTTGTAGAAACCCTGAGAATAGGGGCAGCACTGTGCACGGGTCGAAAGGTTCATCGCCTCGCTGCACCTTGGGCCAACAAGGACAAAGCAGGCCAGTCGAGAGTCGTAACCCTATGCTTGAATAGGTTTGGCTAGCTCGAGGTTTGAGAGGATCTTTCCAAGACCATGAAAGGCCCCCTTCACTTTGGCAAGTCTTCGCAGGACGAGGGAAATATAAAAACAACACCTCTAACAATATCACTATTATAGTTTTAACTAGTGAAAGACACTGTCAATGCTGAAGTGGTTCATGTGCTGTACAAACATTGATTCTCGTTTGTTTGTTCTCAGTGCAAACGATTGCAGGCATCCCAACATGCAACAATATGTTATGCAGTAAGTTTGGGAAGCCACACAATTGAATGTCTTAAGTGGGGGGCCCCCCCAAACATCACCCATAGTCGTTTCAGCATCACATGATCTTTAGATTCACCCATTTGCCAACAGACCCCATGCCTTTGCAGGCACGTCGATGATCCTATGCTTTGCGCGAAGGACAGGGAGAGTAGTAAAATTGCTACCTTTGGCAGTTGGTTTTAATGGCCCGTTCATCATTGGCGCTGCCTTGACAGAAGCCGAGTCGGATCGGCGCGGTAATTGGATTGAGAATGCTGCTACGGTAGTTTGCTGCAGTGAGAAATCACTTAGTTGGCAATGTGCCCATGGTTCCATGAACCATGGAACTCACCGCGAGGACATGGAATCCAACGCATGACAAGGCACTTCTGCCGGGCCTCCCGGTACAGCTGTTTGAGCTTGTCTTGGTGCCTGACGGCAGGATCATCATGTTGCCAAAGTGAATTGTATGAAATGGTGGGCAATGATTTATCCAAGATACTCTCGTTTGAATCCATCAACGATTCCCTCCGTGCTCACCGCATTGGCAGACTCCAAGTTTGAAGACAAAGCATCACCAAGTAATTTGGCTTTTTCAGCCAGCCTGAGCAAGAATACAGCTATGCTTAGAATTCTTATATAAAGAAAGCAAACATCCAAACAGTACAAAGTTGAATGTATATAAGCGTGAGATTGCACCAAAGGAACTGTGAGATGTTTGCAGCAGGGTCTTCTATGCCCTCTATCGACTCAATCAACCCAGTCATTTTCACCACCCATTTCGAGATGCATACCATCACCTTAGTGATATATGCGCTGGGAAGACCGTCATCATCCATATTGGGCCACGTGATAGTCTTAAGGACTTTGTTCTGGTCATTGTGCCCATCAGCATCGACGATTTCCGGCACATCTAGCAGGGATCACAAGGGTACATTTGCAAATGCAGTTTACAATATAGTATAGTGTATCGGTGTCAGCTACTTCAAATAATTACCCCACCTTTATCAAACGCGTCCATGCTGAAGGAGTGTGGCATTTGAGATTCCTTATTCTTCAGGTCCTGATATGTTTCCTCATCCATGGACTCCTCCTCCATCAACACTTCTTGCTTGCGTTTCCTAAGCGGGGTTCATGGCATCGTAGGAGAATGTAGTAGGTGAGACCGGGAACTGGAATGCCCCAAAAGGTTCTGAACACCGTTGTTTCAAAGAGGTTTGGGGCATCCGCAAGAGGGAGAGACATATTGTATCAAATTGTAATGAGTTTATTCATATGATACGCGCACATGACTACCCCACATCCAAGCTTCAACCGGCGTCCGGTGATTTGGCCCTCGGTCCAATAGAGCTCGATGTGTTTTTCATACTTGTCACGCCTCAGGCCACGAAAGATGACAGCAAAAAGACGAAGCTCACGGTGTGATCCAAAGAGGCTGGATAGAAACCAGCAAAATGCTTCAAAGCTACCGGATCCATCCTTTGTTTCTGGCACAGTCTTCCTTGATGGCCTTGATTCTTGACCTTGGATTTTGGTTTAAACCTATTAGATTTTGTTGCGTACACAGTATCAGAAAAAATGAACGAGATGTTATGAGATGTTGCAACACTTTTGCTCACAATGTTTCCAAATTTTTGCAGGGAACGGTGGAAATTTCTCGTCTATCATATCTTGCTCTGACATGAACTGCCCATCCACCCATAAGTCTTGTTGATGAAGAGATTCAACCTTCTTCTTGCAGGTTTTCAAAAATTGCTCCTGGCCAATGTCATGAGGAGAGCATGCACGGGGATGATCTTGCACGTGTGTATTCTACTATTCTGCAGTGCGCTACTAAAAGAAACAAATATGTTGGGTCCTTGTTTCCATCAGAGCGTTCCCAAAGCTTCAAAACGGCTTCTCGCCCGCCGTTGGTGTTATCAGTCCATTTCTCAAGGATCTCTTTGGGAACTAAGAGAGAACCGTCGCTACGTGGCTTCAAGATCCGACGGAGACGCTTGATGGAGTTCTGGTCGATGGGCCCACCAGCCTGAGTGGAGAGGAAATGCATGTTAAGTGCTTTCTGTAGTGTGTGTGTGTGTGTGCGTGTTTGGCGTCGGGATGCTAGTTTTGATTGGCAAGCTAAATGAGTTCATGCACTATGAGCTAACAAATGTCCACCAAGTTTTGGGGGCACCTTCTTGTGAATCATGTTGTAGTGAAACCATGTCTTTTGTCTAAAAGAACATATTGCAGGCGATTCTCATTACGTGGACCCTGACCCTCCTGAAGATGAACCACTGTGGAGTTGCCACCAAACCAGGGGGATCAAGCGGGCGTTTTGTTCACAAACGACAGCAGAAATTCCTGACGAGCAGCACTGTCTGGCAGTTCATCCTCCGCACCAGCCACTTCCTGGACCAGCGTATACTACAAAGAGGTCCCATCCATGGTGCCTGTGTTGAACAACCAACCAACAAGAATTCAATTGCGTGGACTGAATAACAGTCAACAGCCTCGTTCATTGTAGACGGTGCACCCTCAGGTAGTTCATCGTGATCCACCTGCGTGTTGAAAGTCTTTGTTTCTAAGTGCAAACTGCGATACTGCACCAACAGCCCTAATTATACAGGAGCCTGATCATACATGCCATACCCATCATCCACTGGGAAAAGGGTATCAAGATGCTGAAGAAACGGATCATCATCATCATAGGAATCGACCAAAGTACTCTGAAGGAAAGTAGCGATCTCCCCATCCTGAGCTAGTGTTATTAAACCTATATACAACAGTTGAGCCGTTTAGACTCAGCTTCCGATGTTCAGAATTAAATCGAAGTTTCACTCTCGCATTCATGATCCATCCCTGCACTCACTTCGCAGGAGACTGAAGCCGATGCTGAAGCTGCGTCGCTGGACACAGGTTCGGGAGCACGGGCAACTTCATGTTCCTGGGAGTTGGGACGCTTTAAGAGTACTAGTGTATGTTGAAGTTCATCTTAATTCAAAGTTCCGAGGTTTTGCTGAGATACCAAATCAGCAGGAACTGTGTCATCTTCTGGGCCTGCATAACCATCATCACCCAGTTGCAAGAGGAGGCTACGCAAAGGGGTCGGGATTGGCTTCGATACCTCAGTGGGTGATTCCATCTTGTCTTTGAGCTCCTGGAGCAGTAAGTGGCCAAGGGCAGTTTAACAGTAACAAGACATGAAGAACCATGAAGAACGCTGCAATCCCACCAGTCCCCCTACCCACCCAATGCTCCTGCAAGTGAGCAAGTTCTGCCAAGGCGTCTTCCCTAGACAAGTCTTCCGGACACGGACCCTCCTCTTGTTTGACCGCCATGAGACCTTGGTCCAAGGTCCCTGAAGAGAACGCCCGGCTAGGAAGATTGTTCATGGCTAATATCCTGCAAATGGCTCTGCAGATATGTTCACTAGACTCATGAGTTGGTTTTCATGAAATGTGTTAATGGCCCATAACTCATGAATATCTCATAAACAAGACTTTTCATGAATTCAGAACCCTGAAAAACCTGACCGGCCATTTCCGCCCCTTGACCGCCGAATTCCGCCCCTTGACCGGCCAAATCCCCCCCTCGGTTTTCAGGTTTTCATGAATTCATAGCAAATTCATGAAAACAGTCTGGAGTAGTGAGTTCAATTTTTTAGAAGGATTTTCATGAATTCAGACGACTAACACATCTATTCCTGATTTCTTTTTATAGAACAAATTCATGAATTCCGCAAATTCCTCGCCCTAGAGTTGACAAAGCCATGAATGAATTCATGAATGACATAAGGTGCTTTGTGAGTTGATTCCGGAATTCATGAAAAGGCTGTTTTAACTCTCATGACATGAACTCTCATGACATGACCAGCCACGTTTGTTCCCGCTCGAGGTGAGTCCGTCCAGCAGGCATCTGAGATCGTGAACGAATTTGCAGGCACAGTGCCACAAAAGCAAATCCATCCTAATTATAGCATCGCTCGCCATTTGAATTAGGATATTTGAAGTCACAGTGCAACACTCGCTCGACTCAACAGCATGTGAGATTTTCATGATTATTAAGGTGCAAAGGCCGCACTGTTTGAAAATAGCTACTAAATGGCTGTAGGAATGGCACAACGCCACTCGGAAGGGATTCGAAGCTTCTTGCTCCCTCGAACATATATGATGAGTTCCTTCAGATCAGCTTCTAACTCCCACGCAGCACCCTCCTCATCCCATGGTAGCCGGTTAAACAGCTCGACCAATGAGCCTTCAGCCACCTGGAAATGGCTGGATGCCAAAAGAAACGCAATCAACATGGTAGGAGAGCCCCTGACGTGTTTCATTTCTTTTGGTCAATTAAAGTCAATGAGCAAGTTCTGAGATCTACCGTTTAAGTGCCCATACACACTGCCTCGACAGGCATCTTGCGACCAATGCTGTCTTCACGAAGCTTGGGTACCATTGATACAAGGGTGGATGCAAAACGAAAGGTGTATTGCCTGAGTTTTTCAGGTCAACCAAGAAAGGATTGGGATCGTTAGCGCACATGCACGTTGCTTTGGCATTCATGAGTCACTACATTTAGTCGAGATACTGAGAACGCTTCAAATTTGGATTTCCCTTAAACCTTTTCTTGCCAGCAGCATCTATATATGTGGTCGTGGTTGGCTCAGAGTCCTCCCTCTCTTGGTCTGTCATAGGTCCCAGATCCAAGCCAGCAATGCGTCTCGTGTTGCCCCAAACCCATGTTCTCTTCCATGACATTGAAAGATACTTCCGCATCCAGAAGCTAACTTTGTGGGTCTTAGTAGCACCATCAACAAATTTCACACTCGCTAGACTGAAGCACTGAGATTCATAACGTGCATGCTACGGAAGTGTACGCTTGCTAATTAGATCTAAGGAACCAAGATCCCAAACTCCGCAAGACGGTCCACCACCCAAATGTATCTTGGATGCAGGGCTATCAAAGATAGCGCCGGATTCTCCATGAGATACGTGCCTCCGGAAAGCACAACGATCAGGATCAAGATCACGGTCCTGCAAGAGCAAGAATTCAGGGAATATATGGATTAATGGGTATAGTATACGATATATCGATCCTAAAGTATATTGCTTGAGTGAGTGCAATGTTCCATCCACAGGGGTTCTCCTGGATGTCATCTTGTTGGCACGTCGAACACCTGTGAAGTTCTCGTTCCCCAAAGGAGTCAGCAAGGATCGGTGTGTGCTATGGCGGTTCACCGGTACCCAGGATGAACACACAATGGCAAAGGTACACACCATGGCTTCCCATTCTCCATTCAATAGGAGGAGTACACATAGCCTAAGTCAGGCGCATGTTCACAGGACGTTTCGATAATGGTTTGTGAATTAAAAGATAATGAATACCAGTTGTGGGTTGAACATGTTCATAAAACCCCCCTTGGAAAAAACATGAAAGGTCAAGGGACACAAAGCCTGCACTGCCATTGATGTCCATGGGCTTCCGCCCTCCAGGTTTAGCACGGTTTTCACCGTATAGAACATCAATGGCCGCTGTTTTGTAGCCAACCCATTTCGCAAGGGACGCCACCCTCCCCACCCCAGCGTAGAATTCCACTACCTGAAATTCACGTTCATGTTTCTCAACATCCAGCCACGAGATGAGGAGGATGAGGAGAATGACCACCTGGGCTTTGAATGGTGAACTCACCTTTCCAAATCCTTTTCAAAGAACATGTGCTGTGATAAAGTGTAACCAAGATTCTTTTGGGGTCTTGACTGCAATCAGTCTTCGGATTAAGAGATCGAATTGTGATGGCGTCATTGCAGCGAGGGTTTGGAAAGTAAATAGATGTAAAAAGTATTGCTTTGCTTTGCTTGAAGGCAACTAAACATGAATGCATTCACCAAGTGACATGGTGTCCCAAACGTGAAACGATAGTTCTATGATCCTTGACCCTGGACTTGAGACACACACAAAAACTTAGTAAACACGAGGCAGCTAATGGTCCACTGAAGTTCACCAACAAAAGAACTGGGCATGCGCACAGCTGGACATCTTAAACTCAGCCAGCGGTACTTCCTCGGGCCACTGGGCCTTGATGATATTTGGCAAGATTGATGCAGCCTCTCCGTAAACCGTACATCGGAGAGTCCACTGAACCTGGCACGCTGCAGGGAGGAAAGACCAAATGGCCCACAGTGTGAGTGTGCACATGCACGCATGCACCCCCAAACGCACACGCAGACAAGCGCACAGTGCGGACTCATGCATTGGATGATCATGCGTAGCGTGTGATGAGATCTTGAAGCCGGTTTGAATGTCTACCTTTCAACTCTCTTTTCTTTTTACTTTCAATCGCAACTTCTTCGTGATTCTTCCATGGCTTGATTTTTTCAGACCAAGGTCACGAATTGTTCCAACGAATTTCCAGTTCAATGGTATTCCATCAAACCATGCGCTCAATAACACACTAAATGCAATAATTAGAATTGAAAGCGCTGTCGCTTCCGCCCCCCTAACCAGCCGTGCAACCCTAGCAAAAGGCACGACCAGCCATAAAGCTGCGGCTCACACTTCAGCAAGGTCCATGTCAAGGCACGTTGCCTCCCTAAAAGCGGCGGCATGCTCCTTCAAGAAGTCCATGTAACCAGCCAAATCCTTGTTGGAGTTCCCCTGCGCCTTGAATGCCGCCTGGCAAGAATCCCACCACTCTGCCTGCAGGCAGGTCTTCAAAACTTTGACGATGCTTCAGACCTTTAAAGATTCAACCATGCACAACCAGTGCAACAATGTCAAAAACAATTTAGCAACTTCAACTTTCCGCCGCCGGCCAAGTCATCCCAAGTCCCCAACACCAGCCTCCCATTGGCTAACGTTGGTGAAACCATAATAGATGAGCCACACCATGAGCTCCTCATCGAAAGTGTCACGAATGGCCATCCAACGATCCTTGGCTGGACTCTTCAAAGGGCATGGTCGCCTGGCAAAGCTCTTCAGCTTCTCCGGCTTCTCCGCAGACCCAGTTGCTTCCACAGGTGGGGCTTGAGCAGCAGCACGCATCTTCTTGGCCGGAGGTGCTGCTGATTCACCACCCTTTGCAGCACCAGTTGGGTCCTGCACTTGTTTGTCCCACCCGTACAAGTCATTGATGTGGACAACACCTTCCTTCGTGAGAACACCCCAAACAACTAAGTCTTTTGCCGACATGGCCTCATTCTCCTTGTCAGCCTCCTCAACTTCCACAATTTCCTCCACCTCCTGTTGCTTCTTCGAACGACGAGGCTTCTTATTAGCCTTTGGCGCTGCCCCGCGCTGTCGCTTAGGTGGCCTTTCTGCAATCTGTCCATCAGGTTTCCCAGGATCACTCTTTTGCTCCTGTTCTTCTCCATCGTCATCTTGATCTGAATCTACATGGATGGTCTCGACCTCCTTCACTTCATTCGTCTTGCCACGGCCACGGCCACGCCCACGACCGCGCCCCCTGGCCTGAGGCTGAGGCTTTGCTTTTGCCATCCATTGCTCACGTCGTGTCACAACTGGTACTTTCTGATCTTCTTCTTCCTCCTTGCTGAAAGGAACTTCACCCTTGCCGTCTTTCTTCCCCTCCTCGCCCAAAGGAACTTCACCCTTGCCGTCTT